TTGCCAAATAGGTCACTGGCCTTTTTCTAACTCATTTTGAAAGCTCTTTCTATATAAAGGAAGCAAATTGTTTTTTTTCAAATAGGCAAATTGTTTTTCCTAGTTTGCCTTTCATATCGATTTTCACCCATTTTATTCAACCATGGAGAAATTTTCTTACTAAAGTTTTTTATTGTTTATAATTACTTTTCAGCTGGTTCTTTTGGATTTAAGATATAAGATCGTATCACCTGCAAATAACAGCAACTTTGCTTCCTGCTTCCTTATGACTTTCTTTAGTTATTAACAACTGTGACAATGTACATACCTGTACTGTTCCTGATTTTAAGGGAATGCTTCCAAGGTTTCATAATTAAAGATGATGCTGGCTTTAGCTTATAACATTATTTCCCTAAGGAACTTTCTGAATGCATGGAGAACTTAACAATTTGTTCTTGAGTATTTTTTTTCCATGTTTATCAATAGGTTCTATAGCTTTTCTTCAACGTTAAAGTACCTCATTAGCTTTTCCATTTACATAATGGTTTAATAAGAAGTAACAGGAATCTAGGCTCTATTTACATTGTGCTACTCTATAAATAATTCATAACTACTCAAACTATTTAATCTATACCAAGTCCTTGTGCGATATAAAAAAAGGCAGATAGCTTGAATTACAGATAGAAAAACTGAGTCATGAAAATATTAAAATTCCACCCACCCCATTTCTTCATTGTGGCACTTTTGTGAGTTAGAAGTAGGATTCAGACCTTCTGATTCCTAAATCCAGTGTTTAAGCCACAAGAAAGCACGGTGGCCGTTAGAGAATTTAGGGATGCCCAACAGACGATAAAGCAGGCTGCCATCTACAACCCGTTCTCTTCCAGGTCCTGAAAGCAACCTCCAAGTTTGACTCAGGAGCTTCAAACATCTGAAATGCATCACCCAGCAGCCAGCATAATAGGTTCACGCTCAGTGATACATGATGTTGCCGACATTCCTCACCCAATTAGAATTCCTTTCAGCTGCAATGGAGGTGAACACAGCTGGAATTACAGAGTGGGGTGCATCACCAGCCGCACTGATTGTACATTATTTAAGCCTTGTTTTCAAACAATAAAAGGATTTTTCCCCTTTAATCCAGAAATATGGAAATAACATTCCACTTAGTTTAAATGGAGTAAATTGCATCTATAGACACAACAGTAATTCCAATATTTTAAAAGAAGATTTGCCTGATCCACATGGCTGGAGGCTTTTGTCTTTCCATCACAGCTCTGCAGCTTGTCTTTGACTAGAGTGGCTGTAGGGGCTGGTCAGCTAGAGTCAGTGTTGTGGACTAGAAGCCAATTGAAGTTTGGGCTTTTCTCTCAATAAAATTCACCTACAACAACCAGTAACTTAAGTTGTTTGGTGACCCCAAAACACACATATTTTTATTCTCTATTTGTTAAAAATAATTTAACTCTGAAATAGTTTTGAAATTATGAAAATTTGATCCAAATAAGAATCCTAAAAGTTAGGGTTTCTCAGCTAGAAAATAGTAAATTATTTCATCCATTTCAGAAGATCTTTTGAACTTCCCTTTCAGTCTTAGCACTCACTAAAATGCTTAATTCAGCTATTTTAACTTTTAACCAGTGCCCACAAATGTGTTACACAATAACCAAGCTAGTTAACTGGATCATTGAGCTGATGTTGAAATATTATGGGTCTTTTTTTATTATTCATGAAGAAATACTTCTTCATAAATGACTCAGCCCCCAGAATCATCCTGGTTCACTCAGTGTTCCACATTAGAACTTGACAATGTGACCAAACAGAGAAAATGAAAATTTGTATAAGGAAAAACTCCAAGTCCAGATACGACTCTCATGGTTGCAAAAATAGGAGTTTTGAACTCTGACAAAGACTTGAAGGCAAAAATTCTAGTTTGATAAATCACAACTACTATAAAAATAGATAGAAATAAAGTACATGAAACATTTCATTTCTTAAGTCTGTTAGGTGGGTCAAAGAAGTATAAAGAAAATGGATTTTTAAAAAAGGTTTTCTTAAGACAACACAAATGTGATCAAATCACAAATAAAATCAATAAAATCTGTATTTGGCAGCGTGACTTTTTTTTAGCATGTGACTCCTTTTAAAGTATAATTGCAATTTAAGTTTTGCAATACTATTTGATTTAACCCATCCCACACCCTAAGATAATTCCGCTGAAAGAAGTGCCTTGACTGTACCTCATAAACGTGAAGCCAGCCCTGAGGAAAATATGCAAACTCAGGTGTAGCACATGGTTAAACGGCTAGAAATTCCACCTTATCTGAGTTATAGTTGTTAAAAGTTTTGCCTGCCTTACATAAGGGAAGCTTTTTGCTGGTACAATGTGACAAAGGCAATGCTCTTGACAACTTTATCTTTCTTAAGAAAAACTTAACTATTTTGAATCAATTAGGTCACCTGTTATTAATCAATTAAAGTTATTAACAACTATTTACTACAACTGTTTCTAAGTTTCACCCTCTGGATTCCAAAACACAAGTCAGCCTTATATCACATGTGACACAACTTTAAAAATAGTCTCCATTCCCCCATGCTACCACGAAGTCTCCCTGCTCTTCCAACTAGAAATTAGAATTTTTCTTGCAATAGTCATGCTCCGAAAGATATAAAAACACAAGGAGCACTGGGAGTATTTTAAGGCATAAAAGCACAAAAAAGTTTAGGCATTTGGTATTTCAACTAACCGGTTAACATTAGAATAAAATTTAATTTATTTGAAGAGCACTGTGGAACCCTTAGATCTCAAAATTCCATCTTTTTACCCAAAATGGCCTAAATAACGTATCTGGGATTCATTTGTGTACCACATAAGAACAAAGTTTTTACAAATCCTGTTTAAATTTAAAATGAATGTTTTCCAAGTGTTTGATGTGCCAACAAACTCTAAAATGCCCACGAGATAATGCTCTTTAACAAAGATCACTTAAATTGAACATGTTATGCCCCCAAAACCTACTGAAACCTTTAAAAACCATTATCCTGCTAAAAAACCAGACATTAATTAAAATTATAGTCTTTCAAAGACTCAAACATTCTTCTACTGCTTAAGCCAGGTTTCCAAAGCAGTTCGACATACTACTCAGTTTTTGAAATCAAAAGGGGTTCCACAGGAAGAAAAAGAAAGCATAAATGTAGTCAATACACAAACGTAATGCTTGGCATAAATCAAACATGAGTCCTGTGTTTTAATATGAATTTCTGAGTATCAGGATTGAGACCTAACAGAAAGCGTAAGCACTCAATGGCAGTTTGGAATAAGCCAAATTGATAGATCTCATGAAGAGAATCAAAGAATGTTATAGAATTTAAATCTCATTTTACATATGAGGAAACTGAGACCTAGAAAGGTTAAATAATTTGTTCCATATTATGCAGTTCATGGCAGATCTGACCAAAATCCAATCTCTTAATTCTAAAGACGACGTTCTACTCACCACCAAGTATAACTGTGGATCCCAAAGTCCTAAACACTCTTTTATAACTCCAGTGTCTTCATATTTTCATCAAATTACACTCTGTGTGCTACTCACTAGAATAGCTCTCATTTCTAAAAGTCATTTTTTCAAATATTACCCAAGGAAATAAACTCTGAAACCTGTAACAAAAGTATACAACTTTTGAAAAATGTCTATTCAACTTGCCAGAAGTGAAGGTATTTCACACTTCCCCTGACAACCTAAAGATGAGGCCAAAACCTAGCCTATCCCTAACAAAATATCTAGCTCCAACGTTTCCATGTAAATTAACTTTCAACAACTAGCATCACGTGTGTCTGCAATCATCCCTAAACTCTCAAACCTGTTGCAAGATCCTCTGGTAACATTAACAACATCAACTAGGGGAAAGGGAAAAGGTGTTTCAAAAGAACACATCACCTGATCCATGGCTATCGAATAATATTAAAATTCTTTACAGCATTTATCTATGCCATTCCTGAATATGAACATAATTTGGGAGGACAAACCAAGCCCTCCTTTTCATGAGGAAAAGGCCCACACCCAGAGCTGCCTACTAGGATTGATTAATATACACACTTGACACAAACATTGTAATTAAAACTTATTCCTTTTAAAACATTAATCGCATTTCTACTCAGAAAATCAGTTACTTTTGCTTTTAACAAGAAAACTGAAACCAATCTGATGTCAATTATAGATTACTTTGTAAATGAAAACCAAATTAAGGTTGTCAGTAATTAAAGTTTTACAAGCATTACAAAGTAGAAAATGTGGCTTTTATGTAACCATAAAAATAACAATGTATGTACTGCTTCTACAGAGTGAGAAGTGTTTCCTACCAGTCTTGGAATAAAGGATCATGTTTCTCCAGAAGCAAAGATCCCTGGGATATGCCTGTTACTTTACAAAACCAGGGTCTAGGTTTGGATCCCAATCATTCGCTGATCTGGTCATATTATCTGGTCATAACTTTATCTGACATCTATTTTATACCTAAAACTAATTACAACCCTCTTCTTGAAACAAAAAATGGATCATGCAACAACTATGAACTTTCAAAGGAAATCTGAGTTTGAAAACAATCACCCATTGCTGTTTTCACGGATTTTGCCAATGATTTAGGGCAAAATACTCATTATCTCTTTGAAAAGGACTGACTTTGGAGTCCTCATCAGACTAGCCACTGAACAGACAAATCCAGGGGAAAACCCCTTACAGGGATTAGCCTGAACTTTTTATTTCCTTTTCAGAGCTGGAAATACTCGAGTTTGGAAAGTCCCCCAGCAGAACTGTATTTGCGAAACTACAATCCGGCCTCAGCTATGAATTTAAAGTGGGAGCCGAGCAGAAGCCCCATAGTGCTGGAAAGAGAGAGAAAGGGCGAACTGGTAAAGGGCTTCTAGGGCTCGCGAGCGAGGGGGCACCTCCAGCAAACACCGTTGGCATCTACACACAGCCAAACCACCACGTCGCAGGCCCACAGTAGAGCTTCGCGCTCACCCTTGAAGGTGGCACTATAGAGCCACCTAGAAGACACAGGCATTTCATTGAAGACTAAATGAGTGAATCAAGGAGTCTGCGGTAGTACAGCTACCAAAGCCTCCAACGCGTGCGTGTGTTTGCTTGAGGGGGCGGCGGCGGGAATCAACGCCTAATCCGGGCTCAAGGATGCGTGAGTGGGAGGGGACGATGGTAAAGTGCGATGCAGAAAAGCGAAGAATGGAAGAAGAAGTACAGTCAAGAGTAGATAGTGAACCGGAGAGAGAAAGGAAGTGGACTAGACTGAAGTGGTCTGGCCCAGAGGGGAAGTGAGAACAGGCCCGGGAGAAGATACAAGATAGGATTGAGGAATTCGAGGCTGAAGGAAAGGGTGGAGGCCGCGAGACAGAAGCAAGGGGGCGGGGCTGGGAGATAGGGGAGGGCGGGCCTAGGTAGAAAATGAGGGGCGGAGTTTAGGAGGGAAAGTGAGGGGGCGAAACTAGGGGAGAAGGGGCGGGGCCAGGAGGGGA